TCAGCAAGAAGGTCTGAAGAAGAGGCTCAAAAAATCAAGATAGAAACTTTGTTTTTTCTTACACCCATGAGATAATCAATAACTCCAGTTAAAAAACAATCAACCACTTGACCAAAGGAGCTATATATAAACTATATGGAGTTCTTTAAAACTAGAATATGTTAGACTTGAGATTGATGATTCAATTAGCATTGATGGGATGATGGGATTATTGTTCGTGGAGGTCTCATTCAAGAAAATAAAGGAAATTGAATTAAAAAATTCTTCAAATAAGTTACTACATCAGTACAATAGAAGATAGTTTGAAGGGCCTTAGGCTGCCATGTATCTTTGATCTTTCCAAATGATCTAACAGAGATGAGCAAAAGGCTTCAACCAAGGTGTTCTTTTTTCTCATTTTTAATGTTTCAAATTAAATTATCCAATCTTGCATACAAAAAGAGGGAAAAAAAATAAACTTAGAAGGTTTAACTATTTTTTTCTGAACATCCTAAGCTTCCTTATTTTGAGGGCAGTTCATTTAAGTTTTTTCTTTCATGAAAAAGAAAATTATTTTTTTAAAAAAATATTTTGTAAATTTTTAAGATGTTTGTTTAATTTTTTTAAAAATAAGCTAAATTAAAAAAAGTAAATTCATGATTATTTTGAGACTTTTGAAAATAACCTAATATGATATATAAAAGAGAGTGCATAGAAATATAAAAATATACGAAGATATCATGAAATTTTAAAATAATTAAATAATAAATTATTTTTATTAATAGAGATCTACAAAAATATCATAAAATTTAAATATGATTAAATTATAATAACTTTTTATTATTATAATCAAGTATAAAATAATTTTTATTTTCTATAAATTATGTATAAAAATAACTCTCTTTCTATAAAAAATTTAAATTATCTAAAAATTATTTATTTTTTAACCCGCTTTTAATTTCATTTCATCAGCATCTCATTCCAGAGTCTTGTGTGTTTTTTTGGGCCGGAGCACTTGCGAATATTTCTATAAAGCACTCTGTAAAGTAATTAAGTGAATCCTGACCAAAAAGAAAAAAGTAATTAAGTGAATCTTTATCCAAAACAAAAGAAAAATTTAAGTGAATCAAGCTATTTGGATTAAGGTGTTATCGATCGGATAGCTAGTAGCTGTTCCCGGATTCCATTTGGATTGGGTTAGATCATGTTAAAATGATCTCTTTAAAAATTATAATTTTTCTTCTATAAATTTCATTTTTTTCACTTTTAAAATGTATATACAATTATATTACTATCTTTTTTATAATTATTTATATTCCTTTTCTACTTTAAAGTAGAGCTTCAAATGAATTTTTTTTTAAAAATAAACCCCACAAAATCTAATCAAATTTGTCTGTCTTAAGGATAAGAACTACAACCTGAATCAAACCAATTGATAAGGTAAAATTTAAAACCAAACTAACTATATGAATTTGGTTTGATTGGCATCGAATGCCTTTAAAAGTAATTAAAGGGTGAAAATATGTTAAACTAGCCTAACCTTTGCCAAATAAGACTGAGCTTGTATCAAAGGCTTTAAATCTGAGTTCAGGTTTAAATTGGTGAGAAAGTTTTTTAAATTCAAGTTGTTTAGTTTTGAAGTTTTTTTAAATGCCTACTTAATATGTGCCTTTAAAAATGCTATCTTAATTAGGCCTTAAAGGTTCTAAATGAATTTGAGCCTATCAAAACTCACATAAACGACGGAAAAAGAAAAATGTATTCTAACCAAAATTGTCTTTTAAAATATAACAGTTACACTAGGAAAATTTAGGAGTCGCACCTCCAAGTTTAGCACTCCATCAATTTATCAACTTATACTATATCTTTCTCCAAAAAAATTAATAGTCACGTAAAGAAAATTTTGAAGTATCATTTCTAAATTTAGCACTCAATTTCAAGCATCAATTCAAAAGTTTAATAGTCACATGAGAAAAATTTAGGACTATCATTTGATGCTTCAATTCTAAACAAAAGACCAAGGTCTTTAGAAATACAGAAATAGGAATTTATGGATAACTAATTTCATTAATTGGTTCCTACTTATACTTCTCCCTAAATAATACAGCTTAATCAAATTCTGCACATGGCATGTCTATTTCCTTTAGGCAAAATCACTTCCATGTCCCATACGAGAAATTTATTTGAAAAAATTTTCATAAAATCACAAAATTACTTTGTCCTTGCTTGATATGATTAAAAAGTTTTTGATAAAATGAAAATTAAAATTGAAATCAAAATTAAAATTGAAAATAAAATAGAATTAGGTTAAAAAAGTTTGTTTGGTATGACGATAAAATTTTGATGTAATTTTAATAATTATATGTATTTCAAATAAAAAAATACCAAAATGCCTTTTGCAAGAAAGAAAGAATGAAAGAAAGAAAGGAGGAAGCTCCAACACTCCCACCACTCATGACTTCGACACTCCCTCCCACTACACACGACTTCCTACAGTTCAGCATGCCTATGTTTTGATATATTTGCAAGAATTTCAGATTTAATCAACACGCACAAGATTTGCGAGATTTTATATTTGCAATATTTCCAAATTCAATCAACATAAACAATATATGCTAGATTCTCCAAATAAATTAGGGTTAAAATATATCTCCCTGCACAGTTGAAGAAAGAAGAGTGAAGCCCATCACTATGCCCCTCCACACCAAAATCCTCCAATCGACCACTACAGGGCAAAATTTCAAGCCAAAAGGGGAATTCCAGGCAAGACACATCGTCAAATGGGTCGCTCAAGGTCTTGAACGACTGCGTGGTCCACTATGATGGCCACACTATCCACTGACGAAGTTCCTTTAACATTACTATCTCCATTGATTTGTTTTTGACAGAGGTAGAGAAACAAGAACTAGGAATAAAGAACTTGGTAAAACTGAGGAATATGAGAGTATAATGGACACACATTTCAATTCTTCGAAAACCAGCGAGATTCCTTGAGGTTCACTAAAGAATCCAATTCTCGTCATTTTTGTTGAACTAGATTCTATGGGAATCACAAATCATACATACCAAACACTGATGTGTGATTTCAGTTTCAATTTCATTTCTCAAGTTTTGATTCCTTATACAAACATAGCCTAAAGTTTTATATTGTTTACTTAAATTGTTAATTTCCTAAATTGAAGTGGTAAATTATTGATAACTAATTATTACTGGAGTTATTCGATTAGCAACTAAGTATCAATAATTAACACACACACAATCACACACTAAGCCCACATACAATCATGTTAGCGTTCGGTATAAACATGAAAGAACATAAAACTTCAAAGTAATTTTGTGATTTCATATGATTTTTTAAGAATTATTTTTTAAATATATCATTAGTAGTATGAATTATTTTTTTAAAAAATATCATTCAAGGACCATGAGGCAATTTAATATTAAATAAGAATCAAAAGAATTTAAATATACCACAACAGGACTGCAGAATTGATTTAAAAATAATTTTAGATAGAACAAGACTATAATACCCCTATTTCTCTTTTTTCTTTTTTAAACTTATCAATTTGTGAATGATTTCTTGTTAAAATGACAATTAGTACTTGTTAATTAATAAATGATTGCTTGTTGTCATATTGAAATATGATATACACATGTCCCTTCCTACAACAAAGCTCTTTTATATTCTTAAACTTGTCAATTAATTATGACTTATTGTTAAATGTAAATAGGTACTTGTTAATTAATGAATAATTACTTGTTAAAATATAATTTACATTCTTTCTTTTTTACAATAAAGTTCTTTCATATTTTTGAACTTGTAAATTAATGAATGACTTTTTATTAAATGTGAACAGGTACTTACTCCTTCGATCCAGTATATAAGTCACTTTCTAGAAACATAATATGGTCCACTTTATAATTCATTTATTGATGGGATTGTTTTGTTTCAAATTAAAATTTCCAAATTACCCTTAAAAAGTAAGAGAGAGAAAGATAAAAAAATAATATTATATGATTGACTTACTTTTTATTTTTTTACTTGAGGATTATGTTTGAAATTTTACTTATTTTTATTCCTTATACTTTTATTGTATTGATATTGATGAGATTATAGAAATGACTTATAATTGGGACTGAAGAGAGTACTTATTAATTGATAAATAACTACTTGTTGTCATATTGAAATATGATCTACACATGTCCCTTCCTACAACAAAGCTCTTTTATATTTTTAAACTTGTTAATTAATGTATGACTTATTGATAAATATAAATAGGTACTTGTTAATTAATGAATAATTATTTGTTAAAATATAATTTACACTCTTTCTTTTCACAATAAAGTTCTTTCATATTTTTGAACTTGTAAATTAATGAATGACTTTTTATTAAATGTCAACAAGTACTTACTCCTTCGATCCAGTATATAAGTCACTTTCTAAAACATAATATGGTTCACTTTATAATTCATTTGTTGATGGAATTGTTTTGTTTCAAATTAAAATTTTTAAATTACTCTTAAAAAATAAGAGAGAGAAAGACAAAAAAATATTATATGATTGACTTATTTTTTATTTTTTACTTGATGGTTATATTTGAAATTTTATTTACTTTTATTTCTTGTATTTTTATTGTATTGATATTAATGAGATTGATAAAAATGACTTATAAATAGGATTAAAGGGAGTACTTGTTAATTAATAAATAATTAATTGTCAATTAAAAAAGAAAAGCAGATGTATTATGGTTTTTTTAATCTAACATTATTTTTAAATCAATTTTCTGATCCTATAATGATATTTCAGAATCTTTTAATTTTATTTAATATTAAATTGTCACAACAATTCTTAAATGATATTTTCTCTTATTTTTATTGATGAGGCTTCTGACATTGACACTTAACAGAAAGCCCATCGAATACGTTGAAAGGCCCAATTATGAAACCCCGTTAGCCCAGATGGGTCGACGCGATGCCGGTGGAACGTTAAATTCGGCGGCATCTTCTGTCCGAAACCGCGCGGGCCTTCTGTTCTAACGTCAACTTCCTATTTCACTACGATCTCTCTCACTCTCTCTTCACATTTCGCAATAATCTTCGTACACATTATTTCTTCGCCACATTTTCAGATTCTCGATCGTCCTGCAGAGGAGCATTGTATCGTTCTTTCCTCTGCAAGTTTCCATTCCCATTGCAATGGCTGCTGCTACTCTCAGTCCAGCCGATACCGAGAAACTGTCCAACCTCAAATCTGCTGTTGCTCAATTGAGCCAAATCAGGTATCGATAACATTTTAGGATTTGAATTAGTTTCCGATCATTCTTTCTATTTTCTTGATATGAATCTATTTGATCGATTTCTTATTGTGCATGGAAGCGCTTGGATCTCAGATCAGGATCTTATTTTCTATTCTGGATTTTGAATGTAAATTGTTTGTAGTGAGAATGAGAAGAACGGATTCATCAACCTTGTAGCCCGCTCTCTCAGGTGAATCTTTCATGAGGGAGCTCAATCTTTATGCTTTCAGTTTGCTGATCTTTACCTGTAGGTGAGTTCTGATGATGAGATTCGTTACAGTGGCGAAGCGCAGCACGTTGAATGGAGTAAAATTGAGACCCCTACTGATGAAGTGGTGGTGCCTTATGACAGTTTGGCACCATCTCCTGAAGGTAATAACTAATAATCATCATGTATTGTTTTTTCCTTTTCAATTCAATACATTTTCGGTAGATCAGTGTTATCATGGACGAGTACCGTAATCTGTGCAGATTCTTCAGAGATAAAGAAGCTCTTGGACAAGCTTGTGGTGCTGAAGCTTAATGGAGGCCTGGGCACAACCATGGGCTGTACTGGTCCAAAGTATCAAGTTTGATAATATTTTTTTTCCATTATGAATGTTTTTGATAGCTGGACGTTTTAGGTTACTATTTGTTGTGTCAGTTTATTGGTCTTTTTCTTTTCTTTTTTTTTTTTGGATCAGGCTTATCCGATTTTAAAATTTTTGATAGTGCTTACTCTCTCACTATATTTGACCAGTGTTGCATACAACTCTGTCATGCATTGTGTTTATTTCTTTAGATTCCTTGTTTATCAAAAATGAAGAGAAAGAAAACCACAGCCGTAAACGCTTTAAATTCACAACCTGGTTATTTGCACTGCCCTATAGCCTGTAGGAAAGCATACAGCCTGCACTCTGCAGGGCTTCAGGAAAAAAAAAATTGTTGAAGTATTTATGAGCATATGTATCACAGAGACTTTGGACAATAGGACATACAATCAATATCTTGGACTTAAGGAGAATTCTTCATGCAAGATATATTAGTTTGGCAGGATATGGTTTCTATCCAGTTGTCATTTGAGATGGTCTGTATATGAGTCATAACTTCCATATAAATGTATTGCAGATCTGTCATTGAAGTTCGGGATGGATTGACATTTCTTGATTTGATTGTCAAACAAATTGAGGTTATCTTGTCCCCTTCTGTGCTCGACGTTTTCTGTGTTTCCCTTATGCCAACTTTCAACTGATAACTCGGGTGATGTTGTAGAATCTGAATTCCAAATACGGAAGCAACGTTCCATTGCTTTTAATGAACTCTTTCAACACTCATGACGATACGCTAAAGGTACATGATTTCATTCTTAATCCTCTTTACGAGGTAGAGTTATAAGCCGAGTTCACTTGTAAACTAACAATTTGCCTATTTGTAGATTGTTGGAAAATATAAAAGCTCAAATATCGAAATCCATACTTTTAACCAGGTCCGTAATAATAATTCCTTTTTTTTTTTTTGGGGTAACTCTCAATTGTAGTATCTTCTGGAGTTTCTGGACTTTGAGCTCTTATTTCTTTGCTGCGTTTCTCAAACTTATGCAGAGCCAATATCCTCGATTGGTTGTTGATGACTACTTGCCATTGCCATCGAAAGGGAAGACTGGCAAGGATGGATGGTATGACTTCATTTGAATATTGCCTCCACGGCAAACTGCATTTAATTTAACTACTACAGCGCTACTAGAAGTTTATCTGTTTCGCCTTTTCTGAAGTACCATAAATCAAAGAACAGATGTGTGATTTAACACATCCATCTGAAAGGAATTCACTTCCTAGTTTTCTTATGAGCAACACCATCGTGCGTAGGTACCCTCCTGGCCATGGGGATGTCTTCCTGTCATTATTGAACAGTGGAAAACTTGATGCATTGTTATCACAGGTAGGCACCAGAACCCTATTTATAATTGGACTATGCCTTTAGCTATTTTATAGTCATCATGGTCACTACCGTTTCATGGATCCTTCATTTCCTCCTTTGCCCCCTCCTGTTATAGGGCAAGGAGTACGTGTTTATTGCCAATTCAGACAACTTGGGTGCTATTGTCGACTTGAGTATCCTCAATTAGGTTTTCATTGATTCCTTATTTTGCTATTATCTGTGGCTATACTTGTTATCTACACATAAAGTGTTTCTGTCATTTCTATTAGTATCTTTGACTGGGTAATTTAGAAATCTTGAGTCATTTGGTCCAGAAAAAGAACGAGTACTGTATGGAGGTAAGAAAAAGTGGTTGTTATCACATAACTACTTGCTTTAAATATTTAGCCTCTTCGTCATTTCTACATTTTTTGTGCTTGTTATTGTACAGGTGACTCCCAAAACATTGGCTGATGTGAAGGGTGGCACTTTAATCTCTTACGAAGGAAGGGTTCAGGCATGAATCTGCTGTTTAGATTTCATATCTCTACATTCTTAGCTGGTCCAAAAAAAAAAAAAAAACTCTACAGTCTTTTTCTGTTTCATTAGTTCACAATTCTTGACTCAGCAAAATTTGTCTTAACCTTTCTATGACCTTATACTCTGATGTACTATACGCCATATACAATTATCACCCAAATATACATATGCCGTCTACAATTTGACAACTGGTCTGTTACTCCTCTATTTGATTTCTGTATCGTGGAAGAAACTACGAGAAAGTTAGGATCAATTAAAATCCTGAGAAGAATGTTGGCATTAAGTGACGGTTATGTTTGAATGTTTAATGCAGCTCCTGGAAATTGCACAAGTCCCAAATGATCATGTAAGCTACTCAATCTCTCTTGTTCTCCCTTGGATCTTTTCTAACGTAGCCTACCCCCTTTATAAGTGTAGCCAGTAGTTCTAATTGAACTATGATAAACTTATGAAGATCATGATAATTACACTGGCTTGATTTAATTAATTATATCCTTTTGCACTGTCATTTACTTTAGCTTTAACTGGTGCTATGGTTTATTCCATAAGTACTTGAAGGGAGGGCATCTTATCCTACATCATTGTATATTTCCTTCTTTTTTGATAAAACGTTTTCATTTAAAATCAAATGCATATTTGAGAGGAAAGATCACATTCATGATTACACTATAATGATTCAAAATAAGAGAATAAAATATTATTAAGCATGATTCCTCACCATTTTAATCAAAAACACAATACTTCTTCATCGACAAATTTTTACTATTGAAAATTTTACATACCATAAAAGGAACTTGTAGGAATTGATTATTTGCTAGACCTATATGCTATGTTAGTTTTTTTGTAACTAATATTTTATCTACCAGCAAAACCCTTTACATATACAAGAGGAATTTCCTCATCTAACTTAAGCATAATCCCTAGCCACATTTCCTTATAAAAGCAGTTGCTAAACATTGGCAATACAAACTGTTAAATTCCTTTAATTAAAACGTGCCTGGTTTCTCATTGATGATATAAAATTTAGCCTATACTGCTAGATTATGATTTTTACAATAGGAATGAGAGTGGAAAATCTGGAAAGTGAACGTATCTTTATTAGAAAAAGAGATTTTGCAATTCTTTGTTTAGTTGTCAGACCTCACCAGCTATTATCATAAAGTTTCATATTAGGAGAATAAGATGAACAAATGGAGAAGCTTTTCTATTTTCCCATTTTCTTCTTTCTATCTAAATTGCCTTGTCCTAGTTGATGCTTCGTATAAGCCTGAAAATATCAATATTTGACAAAAATTATAGTAGCTAGAACACGTCTGTAAATAAAAGACAGACCTTGATGTTGAGATGTAGAGTATGATTATGCCATTGAGTCATTTTGCTGGCTTTTGCACAGGTGAATGAATTCAAGTCGATAGAGAAGTTCAAAATTTTCAACACAAATAATTTGTAAGTTTTACTGGCTATTACCCAAAGTGTTGTTGGTTATAGGTCCCAACTAACGAGGTGTTCTGCAGGTGGGTGAACTTAAATGCAATTAAAAGGCTTGTTGAAGCTAATGCTCTCAAGATGGAAATTATTCCTAACCCAAAGGTGAGGATTGTTCTTCTACAATAGTTGCATTTCTTTTCTTTCTATTCTGTTTTGGGGTTGGGAGGCTGTGCTGTATCTTGGATTGCATGCTAGACTCTTGGAACTCTGTTGGAAAATTGCTGACAAAGTTGTGAGGATTTTAGGAGGTTGATGGAGTAAAAGTTCTTCAGCTGGAAACTGCAGCTGGTGCAGCAATAAGGGTACTCAATGTTTTTTTGACATGTTAAAATGTTCTTGATGATGAAGGTTATCTTCTTGTCTCTTATCTTCATCTCTTTTTACCAGTTCTTTGACAATGCTATAGGGATCAATGTGCCTCGATCCCGGTTCCTTCCAGTGAAGGCAACTTCTGATTTGCTTCTAGTCCAGGTTATAAACTTTTCTGATACGTAGCATAAAATTTGGATATGGGTTTGATGTATTGTCAGGCATAACCAGTTCCCTTGTTTTGCAGTCGGACCTTTACACTTTGCAAGACGGCTCTGTCATCCGTAACCCAGCAAGATCAAATCCTGCAAACCCTGCTATTGAATTGGGGCCAGAATTTAAAAAGGTAGAGACTTACATTATTGATTATTTTGCATCATATGGTGATAATAACACTGATTTACCCACCATCCTTAATAGGTTAGCGACTTCTTGAGTCGTTTCAAGTCAATTCCTGGCATTGCCGAGCTTGACAGTCTTAAAGTGGCCGGTGATGTATGGTTTGGAGCTGGTATTACCCTCAAGGTATGGAATTTAATCCTATTATTAATCTTTGAATCTCTCTTTTATAAGGCAGCGCAGAACATTTTTGACGATAATTCCAATGATTACAGTTTAGGACTCTTTTCTATTTATTTATTGAAAGGTAAAAATTACACTGCCAAAAAGATAACAAATAAGATTGTGCGGGAGGTCAAAAAATTTATGTCATGCCTGATTCTGTTCAAACCCGTGGCACTATTTGCATTCCACTTTCAATTTCAGTTTTAATTGCTTCTCAACAAAACCCAATTGGTACATGAGGGTGGCTATGTGAATGGTAACGTGTGCTAACTGCTAAGGTCTGACAAATACTATTATAGTCATTAACCTGTACTGGAGCAAGTAAATGTGAAAAATGATCATACGAACCCATCATCATTAACCCAAGTACCTTCATTTGTTTTATCGGAGGGACAGTGGTTCTTCTTGTGTTTTTTTCCTTTTTCTTTTTGTTAACTAGACCATGAAAGTAATTACTATGTCCATTTTCATCCACCTGCCAGATTTGACAATTTTTTTTATGCCACATAGCATTTCCTTGTAATCATGTCAAAATTCCAAATCCTTCCTAAGATTTTTCGCCTACCTGGTCCATAGCATTGGTGACCAAGGAAATAGGAACCTCCTGTAATTGCTCCTCAAGGTGTATAATTTTTCCTCCCCTTTTGTCATAAAGATAAAAAGAATTAGCCTCCCACTGATTCCATAGAGTGAAAAAAAAAAAAAAAAGCTTGTCCCTAAGCTGTGTTTGAGGTTCTGGAGACAAGCACTGGCATCAAGGAAGTGGGTTTGATATGACTTTTGTTAGTTTTTGGTGTGAGAAATGCTAGTTATAGTTTCTCCTTGTAATTTGCATTCACTTTTTTAATAATAAAAGCAAGAAACTTTAGCATATCATTATATTTAGGGGCTACAAACAAATTCATAGGGAATCTCACCAACCAAGTGGATTGACTAGGGTGATCATGCGGATTATTATTCTGATTACCGAGATGCTATCTCATATTTTCATGAGATTTTGCATCTTTCTTTTCTTGAATTTGTTTTCTATTTGCTTTCTGATGCTTTTTGTTCGGTTGGTGGTTGAAGGCAAAAGTAGTATTGTTGCAAAAGCTGGCGTGAAGCTGGAATTACCTGATGGAGCCAAAATTGAAAACAAGGTATTCCTTTAATCATGCGGAGCTTGCTTGTTACATGTTTCCATAAGCTTGTCATTTTTAGCACCTCTAAAAGATAACTTATCACGTGCAGGAAATTAATGGCTCTGAGGACCTTTGAAAAATCTTTTATATCAAAGATGAACGGATCATATCAAATGGACAATGTTATGGCCTCGTAATGTTGTATTTTCTTGACTCCTGAGTGTGATAGAAAAAGAAAATAAGAGCCACTTTTTTTTTTTTGGGTCGCGGATATTTAAATACTTGGCTTTGCTCATTGGTTTTGTTATACTAAGCTCACGAGAGAGTTTAAAATGGGTTACATTGTTCATGATTTATGAATAATGCAGCTTCAATTTTACTTTATATATTGACGATAAAATGATTTTGATATGAAAAAAAGTTGTATTTATGCATTACCCCATTTAATTAGCATAATATTTAACACCACGAATATATCATTTTTTCTCATTAAATGAGATCAGTTACATCAATCGCCTTATGTTACTATGCTCCATTAACAACTTAAATTTTCATTTGTCCTTATTTGTAAATAATTAATAATTACAATTCTTTAGGTTGGCAACATTTTCTCTCATTAATTAGTAATTACTATTAATATATAATTTTTTGTGTACTGTTACATGAAGTTTTAAGGAATGAATCACTAACGGTCATTGTTGTTAAATAATGCGAATGTTAAATAATTTATATTTATATTGGCGATATGCATAGGATTGTCAGGGTCTTTTTTATATGCTTTCACCATTGAATTTTCATTGAAAAAATATTGGGAAGTAGTATTATAGATGCTTTATCTTAATTTCAACTAAAAATTATAGTTTTATTTAATCTAATTGAAATTAAATTTGAAGAAATTTAACAATATATACAATGATTTTGATTTATTTACTTATTTATTTTAATTATTTTAATAATGGTTGACCTTTTGCTTAAAATAATATTAATGTTGTTATTTGGTTAAGGAGAAAAGGTGTTTCCAGGTGTTCATTTTGCAATAGCAACCTAATATGTAAATGATGGATTTATCCTCCTGCAAAACATAAATCCTAAATTCAAATTGAAGTTTGTAAATTTGAATTTAAGACATTTACTTTTCTCCAACAAACAATGTGCAGTGTCAATTCATTATAAGCCCCCAGCAATCTTTGAAGATTAACATTATTCCAAAGGGCACATCCAAACTAAGGACCCGTTTACTTTCTAGATTAAAAATTGAAATGTAATAGATTAAAAAAATTAAAGATAAAAAAATATAATAATCAAGATGTGAATAAGTGATAAGTTAATTATATTTATAAGAATAGGTAATTTCATATAGTTGGAATTCATGATTTTTAGAACCTGTGGTGGGTGTAGTGTTTCTCACATTGAAGTACGTGGTATTAATTTTTTTTTTATGTTTATCATGAGAATTAAATAATTTAATTCATTTTTGTTCTCATGTTTTAATCCATTCTATCTCTTTTTTTTTTTAACAAACAAAAGGCTTAGGGTGACTTTTAAAAATCTTAGTAAATAATGTGAATCACCAAGATTTTATACTTACATTGATATTAATGATAACATAGATTGCCAGTTTGCAACATTTCACTGTATTAGTGATAGTAGTTTGTAAATACTATAATTAGATATGAATTTTATTTTATATGAAGATCATGAATATTAATATTTTTAGTAACATATTAATTAATATAACCAACATGCCTTGGTAAGTTATATAAAAATATAATCAGGTGTATCACATTATTTATGATTTATTAATTAAAACATGATATTTAAATAAATTTACATATAAATTAATTTTTTTAATGATAATAAAGAGAGAAAAAATAAAAAATTAAATATACATTTTATTATAAAAATAAAATTAATTAAAAAATATTATATAAAATTTTATTTAAATGATTTAAAATATTTTAATTGAATATATTATAAAATATAATGTCTTGAGTTTATATAAATGGAAGAAACAAATTTAGGACAGCTATTTTTAATTAAAAAAAAAAGATAAAGCTTGAATTTGATGATGCACAGAATCTCATAAAAAAATAATATATTAATATCGACTCTGGTGAAGGGGCTGTCCGTTTGGTGACGGAAGGCCTCCTCCTCGCGCCGGTCAAATTCGTTGAGGCTCAGCTTCTTCCTCTTCCCTCGCTCAACCTGCAAGTACGAGCTTCGACGAGTACCCACTACTCTGCATTTCAGCACATCGTAAACTCTTCAGGGTAACAGGACGCTCTGAGTATTTCCATCTCCCTCTTTCTGGATTTGCATTTCATTATCTTTCACTCTCATGGTTGAAATAGAATAACATTTTCATCAATTGGAAGAAGTGCATGATTTTTCACCTCAAACGATGGAATGTCAGTTTCATATTTTTAGAACTTCCTCACTTGAATGTGTACAACGGTTTTAATTTCTACCATCCCTTTTGACAAGAATCTCCTGTTGGAGCTGGGAAATCTTGTATCAAAACCATGGACGGAGCTTTTCAAACCCTTGGCAAGAAAATTCTTGATCGCGTGTTAACGTTGTTTCAACTTTGGGTCCTTGAGTTATAGGTGCTGATACTTGAGACTATTTTTCATTTAATCGAGAAGAAATGTGGCTTTTCAATTGGGAAAAAATCTAGTTTATATTTATCTCCTTCCCTGTGTCACATGTTGTAAAGAGCAAGCTTCTTTAATTTTCTTCTCTTGTGTTTAAGGTTTTTTCTACATATTTTGCCAAAGTAAAATAAGATTCCATTGTTTCTTAGACTAGAAGAAAAGCGAACATGTTCACCAATGACCAGAGGCAAGAAGAGCGAACGGGAAAATATGGAACCCCAAGACTGCAATACCTTCAGGCACTTGCCCTTCTTTCTTTCCAGTTAATCATAAAACATTTCTTTTCATCCAATATACCGTGATTTTTTATTTTATATATATATATATATATATATGGATATTGAATCATCGACTCCTTCATTTCTTAAACATACGCTCTATGTTCTATCTCCTTCAGGAATGACCAACTATTTAAATTTATTGCTCTGATGTTTGGAACCTGAGAGTGGTAAACTTTGTTTCAGGAATTGGTGACCCAGTTTCAGAGCGCAACTGAAGATGGTACAGAGTACTCTATAATTTTATTTTGTTTAAATTATATAGTCTGAATCCAAGATATAATTTGACCAGATATATTTTTGAAATTTCAAGCTTCTCATGCCCAGAATGCTTTATCCTCTTAGATATTTTGGCATAGGGCAGGAATGAAGTACCCTCTTTATAGTTTGACACGATTGTGAGTGAAACGGTTGTCTTTACACCGTAACAAAGAAATAGGAAATAATGCAGAAAGATAGAAAACTTCTCTGGACCATTTGATGCACTAGAATTCTCTGAGAGCCATTCCATAATTAAATTCCTTGACAATTGGTCTCTCAGATCTTCTTTATGCCCCAAGTATCTCTAATCAAGTCTCATTAGCCTCCTCTGTCAGTCCTCCATGTGTCCAAGCCTAGCTTTTCATGTTACTGACACAACCATCCTCTCTGTCTTTCCGTTTGACATATGCCCAAGTCATTTATAATATACAGGAGGACTATCACGGTGATTCACTGAAATCTGATGAGTGCGCTTGCCCTATTTCCAGTAATTTCTTTTGTCTTCATCTTTTTATACAGTTCGTTACATGCATTTGAAATATTCTCACTTTGCGCTGAAAAGATTACACTTAAAATGTTATTCTTACAAATTTTATTCTTGCTTTTTAATAGGAATCGTACCTGTTAATGTCTCATTTTAAGCTAAGCAGCTTGCAAGAGTCCAACAAGGCTATAGTGTGTAATATTAATTTATTCAATTCTAATCCTAAAATTGAGGTGTAGAACCACTAGTGAACTAGTGGGGAGAGAAATTCTCTCTTCCTCTATTATCTGAATTGATAAATTCTTCATGTTTTTGTAAATTGTAGTATTCTTCTTAACGAGGTTCATGACACACTACTCCCAGCATATCAATGTTTCTTGTATTTGCAGAGACTAGAGAGAAAATAGTGGCAAATTTGGCGAACTTTGCCTATGATCCTTACAATTATAACTTCTTGCGTCAGGTTTGGCACAACCCTATTTTCTTGCTAGAAATCTTCATGTTATAAGCTAAAACATTATTTCACACTATGGCTGGTTTTGTAACATTCTTTTATGTGATATGTAAGCAGCTCAATGTTTTGGAACTTTTTCTGGACTGCATAACTGAAACCAATGAGAAGCTTGTGGAATTTGGAATTGGAGGGATATGCAATGCTTGTGCAGGTAAGCCCGTTTCACCCTTTGTGATGTCAACATCTACACCTGATAATTTGTTTATTTAGTTGACTAAATGTAATGGCAATTTTCTGCAGATCCGACCAATTCTAATATTGTAACTCAATGTGGTGGGATTCCTCTTGTCATCCAGTGTTTATCAAGCCCAGTTAGGAACACCGTAAGGGTGATAACTTAGTTGTTGACTATGTTTCAAGATGTTGGCTCATGGTTATAAACTATTCACCCTGCAGCAGAGATGAAATAATAAGCTAGGCTTGGTTAGATTGCTTAATTGCTGTGTGATGCAATTTCCTCTTACATTTAAATTACATTCAAGCGTGTTGCATATAATTTACTGTGTCATAACTTAAAATTCATTTTTTAAAAAAGAATTAATCTATATGCAGAATATTATTTTAATTTATTTTTCATTCTTCTGAGATATTAGGAAACAGATGACGAACCTGTTTGTTTACTGTTTTTAAAGAACTCTCAAAGACTTAAAACAAAAGAATCTTTCTGTTACCTCTTTTTCTCATTCAGAGTTTTTAGTGACTCCTCTACTATCTGCATCTTACAGTAGAATGTACAGATAGCAACTTTGAAAACTGTTTCATAAAATTGAAACTCAAAATAAAAATGAATTAAAAGAGCACGACCAAAAAGATCCAATTGTTCATTTTCTTTTTCTTTTTTTTAAAATGTTAGAAGATGCTCGTTATGTAAATTTGTAGCCACCAAAATGTCACCACTTTATTATATTAGTTTTTCATTCTTAAAATTGGTTGTGGGAATTACCAGTAAGTTCTTTGGTGGTGCTGAAAAATCACAATTTAATTTTATACAATTTCCAAATATTACCTGTGATGGTTAACCAAAAGTATTTACCACCTGATACCAGGTAAATTATGCACTTGGGGCTCTTTACTATCTATGTAATGAATCTAACAAGGAAGAGGTTTTGAAGCCAGAAGTTATCGATGTTATCCAGAGATATGCTGCTGCTGAAACTGTCAGTGTGAGCTTCAGTAATCTAGCTAAAGCTTTTCTTGACAAACATCTATCAAACAACTTGCACTAGTTCAGGGCTTACAATACTCGTTCCTGTGATGAAACGAGAGTATTCAGAGTTTGTGAATAGTATATTTTGTTATAGACATCATATTCATTTTCATATTGATGAGACTACTTTACAAGGCTGCTCTTGACTCCTGATTACTTTCTCCTCCCTTATTTCAGCAACTAATTTCTTTTATTTAAATTTGAAAAATTAATAGATCACATATTTCCACTTAGGCCATATGTTCCTCAAGAGTGCATTTGTTTGTACTCCTTTAAGAGTATCTAAATAGTTCTTGTGAATTATGGAAGTCTCAAAGCAGTTCTTGACCCAAATTCACTGCATCTGCATTTTGTTAGTATAGTTTTCTCCCATGGTTAGAGAATCATGGAGAACAGTATATAAGTTCGATGCATAACCTTCTTTTAGCTAATGGCATCAATGATTTTATTCTTTAATTTCTTGAGTGCACTACGAGGTTTGGACCTTTCAAATATCGACTGTGTCCATGGCAGTAGTCTGCTTATTGGCATATGCATGGTGAACAATTCAGGACGTTGTAGTGGAAGGCACTTTATTTAAAGCAGATGCGCCCATTTTAGAATTTGGCATGTTGTGACCATGTCATGGCAATGACCTTTACCGACCTGAAAGCCGAAAGGGAATTAATTATAATCAAAGATGGTGAAATTTTAGAAATTTGGAAGAAGGACCGAGAATTTTGGTTGACATAAATAAAAAAAAATTATGGGGAAACAAAAATATTCTTTGCCTGGCCGATGGCAGGAAAGCTGCCACCAATGGTCATCCAACTACTAGAGGGCCATCGTCAGCTACATATCCAGATTTGGTGAGCGTTTCAATTCTTTTCATTGAGGAAGTGTCTCACGCGGCATTATTGAAAATCCTTGATTCAACCAAACATTTATGGGTAGGAGATGTTAGCAAAAGATGTAGAGAGCAGTATATCACAGGCCTGCCTTTTTCTTTGCTCTAGAAATGATTTAAATGCATCAGTATAAAACTGTCTTTTTAACTCACTTTATTTCCAGTCAAACACGAATTTTCAAGTGTCCATAAAATTTTACAATTAATAGTGTGAATACATTGGATGAGAGGATTTGTGATATTTACAGAATCCAAATTCGTGATGGAAAAACTTATTGATGGTAGGGGTATTCACGGAGCCCAGTTACCTGACACGCCTGCTCGAACCATGTGAAATTTTGCCCAACCCAACTAAAAAAAATAGCCCAACATGATTTGGGCATGTTTGGGTTGGGCTGTCTTTTCGGGCACAGTTGGGCAATGAGCAAGGTATACTATCCTGCCTGTTTGGCCCAACCCAAAATATGTGTTTATTTTTTTTATATTTTTAAGGTGCCCTACATTTGCCCAGTAAGGAGAACCGAAAGAGAGCCGAAATATATCTCTTGTTCTCTATTGTCTTAAACTCTAACCTTAGCCGTCGCCCGTCAACATCTCAACGTCCCACAAGCACAGACCCATACATCTCAATCTCCATTCTCCATTCTCCACTCTCGTCTCTCGTTGTGTTCGTGCGCTTGTGCCTCTCGCTTTCCCATCTTCACTCTACTCTCCAATCTCCAGTAGCAATTCTGGCTTTAGCCTTTGCTTGCCGTCATTCTCCTCTCACACAATCTCCATGGTCGCCGTCATTCTCCTCTCTCCCCTGTCCTTGTACGAGTGTTTCTCACAGTCATTCTCTTTGCTCGTTCGCTATCAGTCTCTGTTAGCTCTCTTTGCCCATTTGTTGACTCTACTTGTGCGTGTTGCTCAATTGTGCGTTCTTTGACTCTACGCGTGCTGTTCGTGTTTACCTATTCACTTATCTCTATCTCTACTCTTAAATTGTGTTTAATTCGCGTCTACCCAGGTTTTTCAATTTGTTCTTCTTTATTCTTTTAGTGCATTTCCATATTTTTCTATTTGATTTGATTTGTTTATGTTTGAAAAAAATGCTCTGTTTGTTGAAAATTCTGATACGAGATTGTTATAGATTATTTAGGGAAATTCAATTTGATGCATGCTTGTGAGGGCAATTATGAGTTCTGACTTTATTGTTATAGATTATATTATAATGTATTAATGTTACATGCATAGTGCATTATGCACACTTTATCTGATTGGTTATTGCAAAATAAGGGGGTTATTTATCTGATTGCTACATGATTTGATAAACGAACTTTATCCCAATTACTATATAGAAAGAAAGCAGTTGCAAATGGAAAATCTCTCATTTCCTAACCCACAATCATTGCTTTTACATGACTGTTCTACATCTCTACAACAACAACAACAACAACAACAAGCCTTTATCCCACTAGGTGGGGTCGGCTATATGGATTGCAAGACGCCATTGTGCTCTATCATTTATTAAGCTTTTAGAAATATTATTAATTAAGAGATCACGTTCAATAACTTCCAAGAGTGTTCTCTTAGGCCTTCCTCTACCTCTCTTAGTCGGACTCAAAGTTATATGTTCCACTCTTCTCACTGGTGCCTCCCTTGGTCTTCTTTGTACATGCCCAAACCATCTCAACCGATTTTCTACCATTTTTTCCTCAATAGGTGCCACCCTCACTTTTTCACATATGTGCTCATTTCGAATTTTATCTTTACGTGTATGTCCGCACATCCATCGTAACATTCTCATCTCTGCTACTCCAACTTTATGCTCTTGCTGTCCTGTTAGAGCCCAGCATTCACTACTATATAACATTGCCAGTCTGATAGCAGTACGATAAAACTTTCCTTTAAGTTTATTAGGCACCTTACGGTCACAAATAACTCCTTTAGCTTTTCTCCAATTAAACCACCCAGCTTGAATTCTATGTGAAATATCTCCACTGATTTCGCCATCATTTTGAATAATGGCTCCCAAATATCTAAACTTTTCCACTTGAGGTATAATTTGATCTCTCAATTTTACTTCCAAATTATTTTTGAATAGTCCTTTACCAAATTTACAATATAAATATTCCGTCTTACTTCTACTCAGACGAAAACCTTTCGACCCCAATGTCCTCCTCCATAACTCAAGTTTGCAATTAACCTCTTCTCTTGTCTCTGCTATAAGAACTATATCATCCGCGAAGAGCATACATTTTGGGATTTCCTCTTGAATATGTTCCGTCAAAACATTTAAAATCAAGTTGAACAAATAAGGACTCAGAGATGATCCCTGATGTAGTCCAATCTTTATAGGAAAATCCTTTGTTTGACCACTAGGCGTTCTTATACTAGTTTTTACCCCCTCATACATATCTTGTATGGCTTTAATATAAGCAATCCGTACTCCCTTTTTTTCCAACGCTTTCCAAAGCACTTCTCTTGGTATGCGGTCATAAGCTTTTTCCAAATCAATAAAAACCATGTGTAGATCTTTATCTTTACAACGATACTTTTCCATTAATCCCCTTAGTAGATAAATCGCCTCTGTAGTTGATCTACCTGGCATAAAACCAAATTGATTCTCAGAAATACTTGTCTCCAATCTCAACCTGTGCTCAATTACTTTCTCCCACAATTTCATTGTGTGGCTCATGAGTTTAATCCCTCTATAGTTAGTACAATTCTGAATATCTCCTTTATTTTTATAAATAGGAATTAATGTACTTCTCCTCCACTCATCAAGCATTTTCTTGGACCGTAAAATTACATTAAATAACTTAGTTAACCATCTCACCCCTTCTTCACCTAAACATTTCCACGCTTCGATAGATATACAATCAGGTCCGTTAGCTCTACCATTTGCCATTTTCTTAAGAGCTTCCTTTACCTCCTTATCACATATTTTTCGATAGAATGACAAATTTTTTTCTCCTTCACCAGTTACTAAATCCTCCAAGTTACTAGATGAATCCTCTCCATCATTGAAAAGTTTAGAAAAATAAGTCTCCCATCTATTTTTAATTTCATCATCTGTAACTAAAATTCTTCCCTCTTCATCCTTAATACACCTTACCTGTTCTAGATCTCTTGATTTTCTTTCCCTACTCTTGGCAATCTTATAAATATTTTGCTCTCCTTCCTTCGTCTCAAGGTTCTTATAAAATTCTTCAAAAGCTTTGGAACGAGCTTCACCCACAGCTCTCTTAGTTTCCTTCTTAGCCATACGGTACCTCTCCCAATTTTCCTCATTGTTACACAAATGTATGGCTTTAAAACAGTTCTTCTTATACTTGATTTTGTCCTGTACACTATTATTCCACCACCAAGACTCTTTATCTCTCGGACCAGAACCTTTCGATTCTCCCAAAACTACTTTTGCAACCTCCCGTATCTTTTTAGCCATATCCTCCCATATGATGTTAGCACTTCCCTGAGAATCCCAAATTCCTTTATCCAAAAGATTTCGCTTGAAAATATCTTGCTTCTCACCTTTTAATTGCCACCACCTAATCCTTGGTGTTACTACTTGTCGACGTTTTTGGATTTTACTCATAATACACACATCAAGGACTAGGACCCTATGTTGTATCGTTACAGCATCTTCAGGGATCACCTTACAATTTTTACAAAGTTTTCTATCTGTGTTCCTAACCAAAATAAAATCAATCTGCGACCTTGAGGCTCCACTTTTGTAAGTGATGAGATGCTCATCTCTCTTCTTGAAACAAGTGTTGGCAATCTTAAAATCATACGCCAATGAGAAATCAAGAAGAGTTTGCCCTTCATTGTTTATCTCTCCAAAACCAAAACCACCATGCACCCTTGCATACTGACCAGCTTCCCTCCCGACATGCCCATTAAAGTCTCCTCCAATAAAAATCTTTTCACTCTGTGGTATGTGTCGAATCAACCCTTCCAGATCCTCCCAAAATAATTCCTTAAGACTGGCTTCTGTCCCGACTTGCGGCGTATAAGCGCTAACAATATTAACAATCTCACGTTCAATTATCATTTTTAAAGAAATAATTCTGTCTCCAATTCTGCTAACTTCTACAACGTTTTTCTTCCACTCCTTATCTATAATGATGCCTACTCCATTGTGTGCACTTACTTTTCCTGTATACCAAAGTTTGAAACCTTGAATATCCTTAGCTCCTTCTCCATGCCATTTTGTTTCTTGCAAGCAAAGGATATTGATTTTTCTTTGAATCATAACCCCTACAACCT